GCTTCTTATAAAATGCATTTCTCAGCTACAGCTCTCGTCATTCCACGGGGACAAGAGGGAACAAGTGAATTTGAGATCCAGCCTGAACAATAAACTTTACAAACGTTGGACTACAAAGGTACGTTCTTATTTTTGTCAAAAGTTAAGATTGTGTTGTTGCTATTATTCCTAAAGATTAGATGTCACTTTCCTATCAGATGCCCCAATCATAAGTGTTAATGTTTAACAAATAACAGGGCACCGAAGCATGCATTATTCAAGTCCATACAAAGTTACTCTCACAACATTCTTTATTGACATTAGTGTGACGTTAGAAGTATTATTAGCATTTTGTAAGTATCTCATAAGCACTCTACATCTAATGCCGCTTCTAATATCTTCACATGCTGATTAAGAAGATAACGTTCCCCCTACCGCAGTGTTTAACACCTGCAGCAAATCAATCATCCAGGCTCTGAAGTTACCCGATAGCACGCAGGGCTTCTTGGTACAGTTGTTCGTACATGAGGTGACTGAAATTAATCAGGCCAGCTTATCAGCACTTTGTAATGCTCAAAGCTGATCCCTGCAATCTGGAACTTTGTTTCTGCATATTGGGGTCTTATTGAGGATAGATTCGTGGCCTTAAAATTTGCCGACGGAACCTGCACAGACCCATTTCGGTTACTGGAGTAAAGGAATTGCATTTCATATTCCATATTTCTTTTAGTGATTCTTCCTTTTTTCACCTTCTTTTTTGTACTTGATTCATATGACGAGTGTACTCTTAATGTTGAGCATTGATTCAGTCACCACTCATCATTTCTTTTTATAATGTGCTTTCGGTTTTCACAAATTTCGAATGACTATTTTTAAAATACAACTTCCATTACTTGAAGCATTTTTGCCATGTCTATACTTCATGAAGGACCAAACTCGCACTATAATATATCTACACCATCAACACGGAGTTATTCATACTTTCACTCATCTATATAGTGGATTTCAGGTCTTACCCCTCCACAAACCACAAAGAATAGCATATCCTAGTTTGCACTGTTGGCTGTTGAATTTTAGAACCTTTCGTATTATTAACCATTAGATTACTGCTGATAGAATGGATTATAAGCCAACAAGACTTTTAGTCTCCTTCTTGGCACCAAGCCCCAGTTAGAAAGGATAAGCTACCTGGCCGTTCTGCATTAGCACCAAGCCAGTCAATGGTCTATGACAAGCCATTGTACTTGCCCCACATAGAAAGAGGAAAACGCCAGAAAGAACAAGCATCTCGGAAATTCTAACAAAATTAGCTTGCTGATTGTGTGATCAGCTTGAACAAAAGTTTCTCCAGAAACACTTTGCAGCATTCTCCCAAAGATGTTTTTTTTTACAGAAACAGATATAGTAACAGATAAACCATATATCCATCGAGTTGTTGGTTATTCTCCATCTAGGAGTCAGCTTATTACTAAGACCTAATCCCAATCACAATCTGGTAAAGACGCGTGAACTTTGAAAATTTGTTTTCCAGTCGGCAAATATGTGCAACTAGAACTTCAAAATGAGTAACCGCAAGCCATCAGAAAAGTGGGATAGAGGACTTACAGCTCTTTCGGCAGTTCCAGGAGGACCGTCGAGAATCTTAATCCGAGCTCTCGTCTCCTCGACGATTTTCTTTATGAACTCCCCCTTGCGCCCGATTATACTGCCGACCTTTTGTGCCGGGACCAGCATACGGAAGACGCTATCTCCCGGCCATCCGGGCCACTTCTTCTCGGCAGCTCCGGCCGCCGCCGGGCTCTCTTCCTGCGGCTTCTCCTCAGGCAGCTCGTCCGCGGGCAACTCCTCCACGTTCTCCTCGGGGATGGTCTGCTCGAGGGTCTCCTCAAGGGCCTCCTCCAGAGCAGCCTCCTCGGGGCTCTGCTCGGCTTCCACCGCGTCGTTCTGCTCCTCCTCGAGGTTCAGCTCCACTTCAGCCATGAGTCCTGCACCAAGGAGGAAGGGGGAAGCAAAAGAACATGAAACCCGCGACCACCCGCATCCCCACACCCACCAAGACGACGACACCACCCCAAACAACAACCAGCTTGGGCAACCCGCCAATCTTTTTCCATATTTAACACCAACCACAAGAACAAATGCGAAGAAACACCAATCCTCATCCAACGAAAAAGGAACAAAACTCATCATTATCCAACGAAAAGGAACAAAACCCAAGACCCAAAAACCCTAAGGCGACACGGGAGCATCGATAGGGGTACCGAAACAATCGCTAATCCGGAACGATCGGAGAGCGGCGGAACCCACGGAGATAGGGAGGCGCGGGGGACGCGCGTCCACGAACAGAACAGGAAGCCCTAGAAGCGCAGCGTTACTCACCTGAGGATGCAGAGAGAGAGAGAGAGAGAAAGGGGAAAACTTGCTTCTAGGTTTTCGCTCGCCGGAGAGAGAGAGAGAAGGGGGAGAAGGAGAGGAGGCGTTGTTCTGCGATGAGACTTGTTGGGGAATTCGCATTTGTGGACAAGAGATATACTTGTAATTTCGCGTGGAGCCAGCCACTGGATTTCTCTTTTACCGAACTGACGAAAATGTCCCTTCGCTCCTAACTCGAGTCGATTTTTTTTTCCTTTTCGGTTAGATAAAAAAGAGAATGGAACCCTGAAACCGGTACATCTGTGATAAATTTATCCTAAATTAATTTTTTGATCAATAAAAAATCCAAGCTGATTACACACGTAATCAATTTACCCTAAATTAATTTTTTAACCACCAAAAATCCCGAACTTGTACATTTGTGATAAATTCACCATATATTAATTTCCGTTAAATTGGATTAATATCACGAAAAATTAAGACCGGCACACCTGTGACAAACGGGGGTAAAATCCCAAACTTGTACACCTGTCAACTGCTACGTGTTAGCCAACTCGGCAATTCGACGGTAAAATTTAACGGAAACTAACGAAGGGTAAATTTATCATAAATATAACTGTTTTAGGTTATTGTGGTTAAAAAATTAGTTTGGGACAAATTTATCATAAGTCTACTAGTTTTAGGGTTTTTTCGTGATATTAATCCAAAAAAAAAGATTTGCTTTTGGACAATGTCGTTAAAGGCCATTAACTCTACTTTGGAAATACAGACATTTTTTTATTTTAAGCATGTGACTTCTCAAAAAATGCATTATTGCCCGATTTTAGAATGTGTTGTTTAGTGGTGATCGGTTTCCGGTCTAGTCTAATGAAACCGGTTAACGTAAAAATTGAGCCGCATTTGAGCAATTATTTGGGATTTTTGGATGTAGGCGTTCGGCTTCACGTCCGTTGTATTTTACGTAAGCAGGGGCAAGAAACTTCCATGGGAAAGATTGGTGGGTTAAGTGGCAAAGCCATCTTCCTTTGAAGGGCTTGTCCAAGATTCTTTAATTAGAGAATCAATAAGGAATTAGGCCTAATTCCCAATTTGTTTTTAACTAAAAGATAACTTAACCCACCATCTTGCCTGAGAGAAGGGAAAGACGGGAGCCTGCGTGAGGGTCCCGAGGGAAGGTAGGAAAAGACAGGCGTTAGGGCTTTTTCTAAGAAACTAAAAATATATATAATAGAGTCGGTCCGGTCCGGTTCGGTCGATCCGATTCTACCCTAGAATCGGGAATCGGACACCGGTTCCAAAATTAGGAACCGGGAACTAGACCGACACCCCCTAGAACAGTCCAAAACCGTCCAGAACCGGCTGGTCCGGTCCGGTCCGGGCGATTCCCGGTTCGGGTGGTCCGTCTTGGACATTCCTAGTGTTGTCATACATTATTTCTGTCTTCAGAGACCTGAACAAGCCTATCAGACGCACTCGTCAACAAGACCCTTTACTTGTCGTTTCATTTGTAGAATTTAAAAGTCAATTCGTGAATCAGAAACATTCAATTTATTATCATTGGGGTAGTTCGTGAACGTTAAGCGTTTTCCAATGGGGGTTTAGCTAGCAGGGGATTAGCACTTAGTAGAGCACTGAGATTCAAAGATTGCCGGGGAGATAAAGTTTTCCAATGAGGGTTTTAGCTTGGGGGCCTGGCGATGTTCCGGGGGTAAAAACACCATCCAGGGCAGGAACATCTTCTTCTCATTCCAAAGCTTGCCTGATTTTCGACACAAAGGCTGCCCGACGGGCGCTTGCCGGTGTCTTCATCCGCCTAGTAATATGGACGAGAGAAGGGAAATAGAAGAAATGATCTAGACAAAGAGGGAGATGTTGAGAAGGGGCACAACATGGAAGGAGGTTGGAGATGTACGTGAGTTCATTGGGATGAATGTAGGTCAGGATGGATTGAAGCAGAAAAGATACAGTTATCAATAGGAGGTAAGAGGGAATGAAGTGGGAGATGTGGGAAGAAACTACATGGCAGATGGGCTTGCTGATGGGGAGGGGTAACAACAGGTAGGAAAGGAGATTGAAAATGTGTGCAAAAATCAGTGTGAGGAAGGCAGGTGAAGATGGAAAATCATGGGATTAAGCTGTCTTTGGGGGAATAGTGGTGGTAAATGGAAGATAAAAGTTATCACCGTTAGGGATGGAGAGCGCTCGGAGGGCGGCATCTAACCCTAAACTCTAACCGTCGTTAAAAAGATCATTGATTTATACCTCGATTTCTATCATGTTAGAAAAATCAGGTGCCTAAAAGACCCGGAATGTTTTGGCGACCGATTTGTCTAGAATGAGGTGACTCTGTTTCCTCCAACTTTTCAGGAGTGTTTCCTTAGTTTCATTCCAAAACATTGCTCCCTACTTTTCACCCTCATTTGATAATGCATCATTGTGATTCATTATTGGGTTTTCATGAATTTTATCAGGAAACTTGTGAGCTTGAAGCCATCTTTTGGCTTAATCATACCAAGCCCCTGAAGATAGTACCTTCCTTGGATGTTCTTTCTGATAGCTGTTATTATACAACAGAGAACTTCTGTAGAAAAAGGGAGGATTGAAATTCGAAAAGTCAAAAACAGAAAACCCTTCCACAGTCCAGCACATCAGCAAAAGAGCCAGGATTGAATTTGAAATATTGTTAATGGTACTTTACAACTCTGCATGCTAAGAAACATGCAGCTGCAACTTCCCGTATTAACTTATCATCCATTATATGTTTCTTTTTCCATTCTATTCAACTTCATACTCTATACTCGAACCCATCTTCGGTTCTGCATTTAAAAACGAAACACTAGCCACAGAGTTGCTCTAGTAAGGCAGGCAATGCCAAAATAGTTTAGAAAGAATGACCCTTTTGAGTAAAGATTGAAATTGACGCGACCAATCCTAATTGTCACTTCTTTTCATCGGTGGCGGCAGCCGGTTCTTTAGCTGTATCAGTCGTCGCCATTTCTGGCTTTGCATTAGTCGTTGTCGGTTCTGTGCTTGTATTAGCCATCCCTGGCGGGCTTTCACCTTTATCAGATTTCTCTAGCACGATCTCGATCTGATGTCAAAATGGAGAGTAGTCAATAGCCTAGAAGGATTCAAGCAGTTTCAAGATTGATTGCCATTGCCAGAGGAGGGGAAAAAAGAAAATGAAACCTTGGCCTTTTGGATCACCCGCCCTCTGCTCTCGTCCTTCATTCCAACTGATGACGTCAAAACCTCTGTTCCATGAGGGCAAAATGAACAAAATATATCAAATGGAATTGGTTAATATGTCGAGCAATAACAGTAGCATGAAGAGGAGGCATAGGCATACTCTTTTCCGTAGCAACACCGTTGTTCTTGAGTATCTCAGCGATTGTGACGACGGTCGTAATTGCTTCAAAAAATCCAGGTCGGTTATTAGAATACTTTAAATGACTTGCAGTATCAAAAATTAACTGAGATAAGTAATTTGCTTGCTCTGCCAATAGTCACGTTGTGCTAACTTAGGTCTGGCATGAAGGCTTTGTTCACCGTAATCCTAAAAGATCAACATTTTGCCGGCCAAATTTGATGTTGGTCTGTTCTTTTTATCACAAAATTTGTACGAAAAAGTAGGATTTTTCGACAAATAGTCAATTGCAAATGACGGGAAGAGGTAAAGTAGAATGAGAGAGTTGAAGGATACCCATGCCCAGAGCAGAAAGCTCAACTTCATTATGCTGTTGTATGTACCTCTGCATCACAAAGTCGAGAAACTTCAGAATTTATAACAAAAAACTGTGCACCTTGTTAAAAACTACTATTTTTCAGCTTGCAACATTGCATCCATGTAAACCCAGCTCGAGTTTCATACGTCGTTAACTAGTAAATGTATAATTGAATGAAATCAGCTCATGTCACAACAAATAAAGGAAAAAGCAGCAAAGAACAAGAAGATATACACCTTGGCAAGATTGACATAGAAAAAGAGGGGCTTCTTGGTATTGGACACCTGAATCCTGTTCTTCTTTGGGGCTAGAACATTCTCTGACGACGCCACGAGTGTCTCAACAGCCATTGTCATCTAAATCTTCAAGTTCTCTCTTATCTGTTTATCACTTCTGGTCACAACCTTGAAAAAAAGGAAGGGATCACGCAGAGAAAGCGAAGAAAGTCCCCCATTATATATAAATATAGAGGTCATCCAGAGCCTAAAATGGTGGGGGTTTGCCAAGAAAAGAGAGCGACCGCTTGTGTGGGCAATCTGTTTTGTGACTCTGTGATTGATGGCTAGGAGTGAAAATAGCAAAAGAAAAGGGAAAGAGCATTGTTTTGTGAGAGAAAACCGTGGGGTGACCACTTGTTTGAGAATGTATGACCAAGTATTTAGTGATTCTTGCACTCTCTTGATGACCCAATTTCATGGTTGAACAAGACCCGATGATGCATTTTGCTAAACAGGACACCAGCAAAATACGTGTGTGTGTATGTTCATATGAGAATTGGACCCAGAAATGGGCCGGTCATGAACTTATTTTGGCCCAAGTGGTATGCCTATTTGGAGTGGCCCGCTTGCCCTTCTTTTCTCCACTTCCTAGAAGATAAGGTCTTGGCAAACGGTGCTTGAAGTAGAAAATAAGCAAGAATGAGCTGTCTCGTGAAAGCTATTGCTTGAGTTTGTAGTAGACCCGATCATGAGCTTGGAGCCTATTGGGTCCGTCAAGGCGCACCCGAGCCAACAAGATCCCGATTGCAAATTGGGCGAGCCTAGGCAAGCAATTTTCTTCTCAGACCCGGGCCCGTCCACATAGGCCCGCCTAGACCCAATGATTTGTGAAAAATTTATTGCCCGTTTTTTAAATCAGAGATGGGATCAGGCAAAGATTTTTGGACATGATTTGACCCAACTTGTCCATTGATGTTTTGTAGTAGGGAAAAGGTGAGGAAAAAAGAAACTACAATGGAGTGGACATGCTAGAAACAGTGTGCTCATTGTGCAGTTCTTCAAAGCTTCAAGCTCTTGGTTTAAGTTGCCATGCGCTCATTATCATGACAATCAATCAACATTGTTGAAATTCTCACAAGGGAAAAAAACAAACGTAAAATGATTAAAACAAGAAACAAACTGAACCGACAAATCGAAACCCTCTAAAATGCTGAGTTCTGGTAAAAGGGAAGGGATGCATATGGAGTCCCAATCAGGACCAACCTCTGATTAAGAACTGTGCCTCTGTATCCATCACCAGTAATTGCATCTATCAATTTAAAGTTGTCCTCAATTTGGCCTCTGGCCGTTTCTCTCTCTCACTGTGAAATTGATTGGATTGCAATGCTGTGCACTAATGGTGAGTAACAGGTGAGACTTTATGTGAGGTTGACAGTGCATTAGAAAGAAGGGTTTTGTAACTTTAATTACAGGAAACGAGACCAAACAGAATCATGGGGACACTCTCCCCTTGTGAATGGTCCCATTCCAAGGGAAACTTCCTCCCAAAATTTCAGTAATTGTGACAAAAAGAGCACATCTTTTTCCCCCTCACCTGGCCCTCATAAGTGACAATGATGAACCTAGCTTAACCCACCTAAAGCATGAATTTTTCTCCACGGCTGTTGCAGATGAGAGCACATTTAGGCACAATTGAGAACTCCACACCTAATAGAAAAAGAAAGTCCCGCAATGAAAACAACTTAACCTAACAGCATCTCTTCCTTTTAATAAGACTCGAAGATGCAAGTCTAAATTCACTATTTTCTCGGAATTCATTCCTTCGGTGGCCAAAATGCCTTCCTTAGATCTATCCTTATTGACTCTCGTTTGGATCCCTTTCTGTTTACTATTCACCTCGAAAGCACCATTGAGTTATACAAAGTCGGGACACTCGTTCACCTGAACCTCTTCTTCGTTCAAAAAGAACTGAATCAAGGGACGGAAGCATACGGAAAGGTCCACACATTCGACATACTCAAAGATTCACACTTTCACATAGGGGTTAAAACCCAGAGCATTATGCCGTATCTGATGAGCAAGCCATCCCCACTTGCTCTGTTCTTTCTTCAACCGAAATGACCATATGCATGGCATCTCCAAAAGGATCTTCCCATGGTCTAATTTCCCAGCACCAAACGATTTTGGATGTTTTGTCCAATCATTGTTCTCTTTTTAGGGGAGGCAGGAGAGGATAAGAGGCCACGATTCTTGACAGCAAAGGGTGTTTTAGGGACGGATCAGTCGGTGATGAAGATTTGCAAATAGACACGGGTGATGGGCCATGACAGTGTGCATACATACCTACAGCTTTTCATGCAGAATGTGACACGTTAGATTAGACAAAAGGGGTCTCGATTCAATTCGGTGAGATTCCCATTCGTGCAAGGAAGACATAAATAAACAAATAAATGGAAGAAAAAATTGATTTCGAGCATGCCCCAGATCTTAAATTCGGTGAAAATGGGCCCATAATGGAATGGAACCTATGCTGTTTTATATTTTTTTGGCATGGAAACTTCGTGCATGTTGCTTGTGTGTGCTTTCCACACCCACTTTGTCGTCCGAATCAGTTTGGTACATGGAACTCAACTCAGCATGATCCGTAAGTCGGCAGATTCCTTCTTCTTTCTCTTTTCTTTTTAGTATGCACAGATAGGTAGCATAGCATCCTAAACTAGCTTTTATATAGCGGAAGAAAGGTTTACATCCCCGATCCGATATCACCGTCCTGCCGACCGAATACACGAACCAATATAGACAGGTTTGAGTAAGGTCATTTTAGTTATAAAACCCGACCGGGTCCAATTGGCCCCGAGTTGACCTAGGAAACGAGTGAGGTTGGGCTTCAGAGCCCGATGTAACCCGAGTTCAGTTGATAATCGTATTTATTGTTCAACCTAAGTACACCAACGGTATGAGACTGGATGGTTTGTAATAAAAAAGCTTTCTCGTGAATTAGCACGATACCTACGTTGAGGTTAAAATTTCTCATTTCTCCAAGCACAATCGTCTTACTAACACCAGCTCTCTCAGGTCAAGTGAGGTTGCAACCCCGCCGGACTTTACAGGTTCAAGCTTAAAGCTTAGAAGGGGAGATTACCAAATCCTTTTTATTATTACAATCAAGAGACATGATAGTTAGGTAAGACATAATGTACGGTAAGAAGGGTATGCGAAAGTTACCCTTCACCAACCTTAAATTATGTCAATTTTCCTACACATTCAATGTCAAATAACTAAGAAGATGCATCCCACAAAATCTTAACATAGTGTAAATTCGCATACCCACCACTATGATTGCCTTCACATGAAACTCAAAGTGATAATAAAAGCTAATAGGCATTTGGGGGAGGGGAGGGGGGGTCCAACATGGGCTCTTGAAAAAGGCAAGCCAAATTTGATTCCCCTTTTGTTTTGTCAAGACTTGCTGCCAATTTGCTACTTTCACATAATACTCTCTTTATGTTCAACTTCTACACATACTTTTTGCTTTTTGTTCTCTTCAATTTTTATATTTTTATTTTTATTTTTCGAGAAAGAATCCTTCTTTTAATTAAATGTGGGGGAAGAATATGGGGTCGAAGGAGGCAGGTGTGAGGCTGACATAAAGAGGTGCCCCCAGTACATGACAAAGATCTTAGAATTTACGACACGGAGGGGCCATCTTTGATCTTCCCCGTCAAGCCCCGGTGAGACAGGCGGAAAATTTCGAAAAGGGTAATCGTCGTGTATGAACAAAGAGCCCCCCCCCACTTTGACCTAAATCGCCTACTTCAATTTGGGTCTCCTGCTGTAAAAGTCACTCCAACCTCAACATGTATGCATCTTGCTGTATTGATGAGAATGAGAGTTCTCCTGTATATTAGAAGAGTGTTTTCCGTGGAGCGGTCCGTGTTGATGAGTTTTTGCCATAGATGAGGGATTTGCGGAAGGGTGAGTTTATGATGGAGAATACGTGAATCTGTTTATGGGCTTTACAAGACGATTATTCAAGATAACAAGGTGATGTCACGTTAATCGTAATCAATCGGGAACATGCATAATCAACGGATACGTGTGCACAATATTGATAGATATAGAGAATCAAGGAAGAGATATAGAATCTCCAAAATATATCTCTTAACCGCCTTCGAGCTCTATACATCAATTCTCGGAGAAATGAATTCTACAGTTTTGTAACGATAAGTCTAAACCAGATGTGAAAGAAAATGACACGCAAGGTTGAATTTCAATTCCTCTGACTTTCTTCCTCCTCGTGGAGTGTGATGATGCCTGCCCCATAACCATAGTTTATATGGGAGTTATGGAACGATTATGGTGTGCCAATACAAGGAAACTTGAACGAAACTGATCTTATCCTCCCTTGATTCTTTATTTAAAGAACGTAAATTTGAAGAACATGGTGGGAACTTTTTGACCGGTGCAGCATTATTTTCAAGAGAAGTGGGAATAGTCAAAAGGGGGGGGGGGGGGACACGGTGGGCATAAAGTCCACCGATTTTTGAAACGGGGGGTTCTTCAATTCTCCTCCATCCATCATCATTCACTTTCTGCATCTGTAGTTACTACTACCACCATGAAAGACAGTCAATGAGCACCCTCCCAACATTCACACACAGCCACACGTTTCATTAACATCTGCACAGTCCCTGCCTGGGACAGAAATAAAGATGGGAGGGCAGGTAGTAGAGTTTGAATTGTGGTCTTTTCAGTACAAATGTTCATGTTGGAATTTATGCAGTGAAGAGGCTTCTAATGTCCTCGCGGTTAACTAGAGTTGGGTTCGTTGCATTAGGTACGCGTGGATTTATGGAGTTCAGCTTAAGAACAGTGGATGCATTCCCACTCCAGCCTAATTTTCACACAGGACCTGTGCCTTGACTCTGTAGTTTCCTTTTTGTTTCTTCCCTATTTAATTTTAGAAAGGGTCCCCTGTACCCAATAATCATTTTACAGCATGTATAACCTCTCATCATATAAACTATTGTCTAATTAATACAGTACTGAAACCCCACTTTTGTCTATTTCACATCAAATTATAATACAAACCCTTGTTTTTGTTTAGCCTCGAGAAAAGAAAAAAGGAAAGAAAGAAAGAAAAGACGTTTAACCCATTTACGGCTGACTACCATCGACTCTCAAGCTAATGACCCGCGCGTGAAAACAGCGATAGACAACATAGGAATAATGAAATTTTTCCAACTAAACATGTACTATGCTTTCCTGTGAACTTGAATAAAATACAAGAGAGCGCCTCCCATCAATTCTGTCCTACTTCTAATTCTTGTTCCTCTGAATCTTCGGATCAGAGTTCTCACTCAATATAACCTTCAACAATTGAAGCAGCTCCAACT